CCCCTTAGCCCTAGGGCACTGTGCCCATGGCGCGCTTGCTCTGCTCGAGTGCTACACGGGTGCTTTTATGGGATTTGGAGAGCATCCCCAAGACAGGAGCGTTCCCCGACTGGCTCCGGGGCTGCCGGTACCCTCCCGACACCCGAATGCGCCTGCAGTCCATAGGTGCTCCCTCTATCAGGGGCAAACTTCCCATTCTGAGCTTTATTTTTGGCCCTGTAAAGCGTTTTCCTCCGCTGCCCGGCTCAAATAAAACCAGTGCACCTGCAGGTGAAGGTAACGTAAGCTGGGCTTTACTTCCCTGTGGTCCTGGGTTTCGGTTGGGTTGGGGTTTGTCGCCTGCTGCCGCTGCTGAAGTGCTGGATAGCAGCCCCCGCCTGACCCGCTGCTCTCTGCTCTTCTCTTTCGCCAAGGAGATGATAGAAAGCGATATCCCGTCCATAATGTCAGGAATCCTTAGGAATTCAGGGCAAAACCACCACCCTTCACAGGAGTACAGGTGAGGCGTTTATCCATTTCAAAAAGACGCGCTGCACTGTCACAGCTTCCTAACTGATGTTGTTTGCTCATTATTTCCTAAAAAAAAAAATTGTTAACATATCCTATCTTATTTTTGTCTTGTTTTTTTTTTTTTTAAGTAAACTGCATTATCTCTCCACTATAAATTGTATTTCTAAGCTGGTGATCAGTTACAACGCGTTACTCATTTAGAAGCGTTCCTGTTTAAATTATTTTGATACTAAACTCTGTTTGATAAATACACTTGGGTTGACCTTCTCGTAAACTCTCTCTACTGTATGATAATATTAATTAAAAGTTCCTTTTCAGATCACATTTTGCATTGTTATGAAGCAGCCATGGAGGGACTAAATCAAGTGCAATAAGCACTAGAAGAGTTTTTAATTAAAACAAGTGCTTTGGTAGTACTCCAAAGCCCTGATTTCTGTCAAAGATCTTCTCATATTGGTAGGAACAAACCTGGATTTGTCAACAGCCTTTGATAATTTACCTATACCACTATCATTTATCGCTGAAAAGCGTTGCTAGAAGTGACGGGACACACGAATTACCCTGCAGGAATTACAGCGCACTGGGTTACGTTAGGTTACATCTCGTCACATGACGCAAAGTTCCAAGAAATACAGAACAGCAGAACACGATCCGGTTCTCACAGTTCAAAAAAAATAAATCATTTTCCTCTTTGAAAATGAGGAGCGAGGATCCTCCCAGCCCCAGGGTGTTTTCACCCACTTCTCTGGGTGAAAGTGGTCGGCCGCAGGTATTCTTCTATCAGCCTCTCTCTATTCAAAATGCAGACACTGCACTGCAGCCTCTTGCAGCTCAACAAGTGATTTGTTATACCCTCTGACGCCACTGTGGAAAAAGGTTTGTGGAACTCTGTTTTGCTGTTTATTAAAGCGCTGTTTGCTCTAGGCGTTTTTGTTGGCTATGTAAATATTTGTAAAGAAATTATGCAGCGTTTAATGAAGGGTGCGTATGAGAGAGACTTCTGGGTACTTGTATTTTAGTCTGTATCTTCAGTGCCCTGAAGAACGCACCACCTTAACAAAGACCCTTTTTATGGAGAGAACTATTCTTTAACACATAGCTGCAGAAATAACACTCTTTTTGGGGGAGAAAGAGAGGATTTCTCTTATTGCCAGTAAAGGAACTGTAAGAGTTTCTTCTTTGATTCAGAAGTCAGCTGCTTTTAAAAACTGCTTTCAATTCTGTTAAACATTTTGAACTCAAAGATCCCAGTTCCCTAAAGTTTTTAACCCACTTGTGATTTCTCTAATGCAGCTTCAAAATGAATTATTTGACCTCATTTAATAGTGGCAAATTCTGATAAAAATGCATAAAATCTGAACTGCACCATAAATGCAGAGCAGTATTTGTCCTACTTCATGAGAAAACACTTTGGATTATGTAAAAGAAAATCTTTTAGACTGAATGATTTTAAGCAAAGAATAGACCTGTCAAATTCTATCAGCTCTGTTTACTCTCCTGCTGTCACCACAGTCCAAGACTGGAACCCACAGTCCCGAGTTCTCCATGGGGGAGCATCAAGGCTCCACAAAATGGGGAATGGCCTCCAATTAGTGAGTGGGAGCTGGGGCTGCGCTGAGAATACTCCTCTGTCTCTCTTGGACTCTCTCAATGGGGCAGTTGGGCTTGGAGGAGACCGGGCTTTCCTGCCAGTGGAAACACTGGAAAGGGAGGGAGCGCGCGGGCGTGCGAGCAGGGGATCAAACCGGCAAATACCGATAAGTTTTCATTCTTACATTTTGAAACCATGGGATTTTAAATCTGGGGGTTTTTTTAGTGGTCGAGGAAGAAAAAAAATCCCTGATTTCAGCAGATCTGTGAATTCTGCGGATCTAAAGTGCCTACAGTAAATTCGATGTAGCACATAGAGTGGTGATGAGGATTAGACTGCTCTGCAAAGTCCAGGGACTGTTTGCACCGTAGTAAAATGATTTTGGACAAATATCTCCTCCACCAATGCAGCTGTGGGATATAAACCACCAAGCTGTTCAGGAATTATTAAGGGCCATCACATCTCCAACATCTGTATTTTTTTGTGCTGTCACTGCTACCAATGCAAAGCAATACTTCATATTAGAGGATGCCTCTAAGTCCCCCAGAGAAAATACTTCAATATTTTCACAGTTGTAGTCGAGACAAATATTTCTAATGATTTCATTTTGCATTTCAGGGAGTAAATGTAGAGAATTGTAACACCCTGGGATTTTTTAACCCGTGACACTTTATTCTTGTTAATTATAATTAATAATCTAACATTATATTTTAGTGTCAATATTTTGACATTTAAATCAAAGCAATAGGCAGGCTACAAGTTTACCACACCGTGGTGTGCTTGCGGTTATTTCAGCACAAAGCTATGTAAATTATACGAGCCCACTCTAAGGCTACTTAATTAGTGGAGAGCTCTCAGGGTCTTCAGTGAGCCTGGAGCTGGTCTCTGAGAAACCAGGTTCTTCAGCTGTGGTCTTCAAGCAATATCTGAAGGCTCAATATTGTCCCAGTTCAACTTCCTGCTTTTCAAACACAGCAGCATGCTTGTTTTTCTCAGGGGCTATCCCATTCCCACACTAGGTACAGTTAGGTGTGGTTTATTGGATATCATATAATAAACCATGGCATGAAAACCAGGCCATTAGGAGGGAGACAAAGAGTAAAGCACTATGGATTGTTTGGCATACGTGAAAATTTAAGGACTCAAACCACCACTCTAAATAACAGCGTGGCATCTATATTTTGAAATAAATAACTAAAATGTATAATTTTATCTGAAGAAATGACATTACTTAAGAAGTAAAGCTAACCTTGGATCAACAAGATAAGTAGACTTCGTGTTTTGCAGCTCACTGCTGTGTAATGACCATGTTGGCATTTTTTTGTATTACTATGTATTTCCAGTTGGTGAAAGACTTATGTAGTATTTTGAAGGCCTCATAATGGATTTTCTATCCATGTTAAAGAGGAATTCCATTTTAAACAGGCATCTTTTTGATCAGAAGTTGTTACTCAGTCATTAACCCTTCAACATATTGGTAGACTATATCCTCCTTCACCCCATTTTAATTGTCCCTTTGGTTCTTAAAAAATGGTCTATATTCATTAGCTCATTAGACAGCCTTCTTGTTGTAATAATTACTTTATGCTAGCATAGTTAGCATAAAATCATATTAAGAAGCATAGAGACATAAACACGCGACTGCCGTATTCCATATTCCTGATGTGACTGCGTTACGGTGGTGAGAAAGGTGGGAAGTCTTTCTCTTCATGACTCACAGCACATTTTAGCTCTCCTAAGTGGTGCTCTCATACCTGGTTTTGCACTTTGGTTTCTGGAGAGCAAGCTCCAGCTCAGGACCCCAGACTGTCCCCACTGGGGATGGACGGAGTCTGGGAGCTTGCACGAAGGAAACTTCTGCAGACAAAAGGTTGCAAACGCATAACTAACGGAAGCATAATTGTTCCTGAGGAAAATGTCAGTGTCCATTGCCCTGACACCGTGTGTGTCTGACAGGGAGTGAGATAATGACCCGACGTGTCGGGGGAATTTCATCACTGCGGTTGCTTCATTCTTTCAAAAAAATGTGAGAAACCTCCTAGGAATCAGTCAAACTCGGGCCACTGTGGATTGATTTAAGTGGATTAGCTCAACTGTTTCCTATGCAGTTCCTGAAATGGGCTAATCTGTATTAATAAAAAATTGTGGCCCTTGCTTCTTAAATTGTCCTGCAGTTACAGGCAGAGATGGGAAGGACCCAGGTTTGTACCCAGGTGATATCTTGCAGGCTTCTCAGTGAAAGCAGAACTGGGTTCACACCTTCCTTCGTAAATGGTGCTTGGTCTCCAGTTCAAAACAAGGAGGCGAAAAAGGAATGTGGAGATTTTCAGCATTTCTGTGAGATCTCAGCTGCTCATGGCATACCACTCTTATATTACCCATTTTAAAAATCTCATGCATGCAGAAAGCAGAATTGCTCCATGCTCACAGCAGCAAGAGATGCGATTGAGACAGGTTCCTACAACAGGACAAAACAAGGGGTAGTACGTTTTATATTCCCTCTGCACTGGACTAGATAAGTACACAAGATCCCAAGCAGATCAGTTCAGTGCTAATAAACAGCAGCCGAAGCAGTGTTAAAGGCAAAAATAGGTTCCCAGGTAGACAACGCTCCTGGTTTTAATAGAAAACATTCCTGCAGTGTCTGATACTTCAATGCATTTTTGCATCGAGGAGAAGCTTATTTAGACACTAGTCACAGTTACAGTAACAGGGTTTTGGTTTGTTGTTGGTTTTTTAAATTGTTTTAACCAAACAGATTGCAAAGTCAGGTACTGGCTGCATTGGGCAAATCCAAACCCAGGGAAGGTGATGTGGGTAAGTGGAGAGTTTGGTGCTGACACTGCTGCTAACTTCCTCTTGGGCTTAAGCAAACCATGCAGGTGACTTGTACTTCAGTTTCCCTTTGTCCCATACCAAAAGGATGTAATGAGGGGTTGTGAAACTTGGAGCTGAAATGTATAAGTCTCCAGGACCACCTCCATAGCCTGTTCTGCTAGTGCTAGGGACCTTGGCAGCAGGTTTTGGAGAATCATCTTTTCTTCTGAACCATGATGTATGAAAAGGAGAACAGCAACACCTGCCAGGGTAGTCACGTTATTTGCCTTCCGCCACCTAGTTTTGGTTCCTATAATCCAGAGTTTCTTGAGCTGTCACTGAGGAGGGACTTTACAGCTGTCCCTGGAAAGCTGCCTAATTTCTGTTCTTATTTCCAGCAAGGCCAGAAATGACTCAAGGAACTTGAAGAAAGTCGGGCTGGTGGTTTGGGACTGGATGGGTGGTCAGCCTTCGAGAGGCAAAGAGGAATCACAGGAGAGGAGCTGGGTCGAGCAGGGCAGGGGCAGGTGTGTGTGAGTGCAGGGAAACAGAACCTGTGCAGGGCAAAGCACCTGCAAGGAAGGAAGGCAGGGAGAGAGGTGCAGAGAGGGAAGGAGCAGACGGAGCGAGGAGCAAAAGGAGACGGTCAGGTTGGGTCCTTCAATAGAACAGAGAATACTTCTCGTCATGGAGACAGCTGGAGATTCACAAAACATAAATATTTCCTTCATGTTGTTTTACATATGGGAAACCACCAGGCTTGTTCTGAGGACGTGATGTAATCCCAGACAAAAGAAAAGAGTTTCTCATCACTGCTTCTGTAAGAGGTTTTCTTAGGACTCTTCCTTATCCAGCTCACCCTGGATAAACCGTTGCAAACAGCTCATTAAGAATCTGTCACCCCTGATTGCTCCTACTTGTTGAACAGTTGTATTACTTCAGCATGGGCTAAAAGCTCAGATATCAGTGCTGGAGAGAGTAATAAAAATTGTCCATTGAGTAAGAGACACCTTAAATCTACGGTTGAAGGTGAATATTCCAAATACAACCGCAATGTTTCGTTCTGACTTTGTTTAGAACAGAGGTGTTGATGAGTTGCCACCACGCACTGATCCCTCTGAGAGAACCTGGAGCAGCAGATTCGCCCTACAACAGGAATTGAACGTTTTGTGTCTTTCAGGGACAGACTCCAGAGCAGATACATGGGGCAGTGCGTGATGGAGCAGATAGCAAAGACAGAGCATTTCTGTGCCACCTAACACAGCTCTCAGGGTGCTTTACACAGGAGGTCAGCATCCTCTGATACCTGGGGCTGAAATCCTCAGCATCACGTGGATTCTTATTTATACCAATGCCTTCCTAGGGCAGAAACGCACAGAAACAGAAGGGTGTTTTCCTGCAGGGAGTTGAAAGGAGAGGGGTAAAAAGGGAGTTGCATCATTTCACCACACCTTTAAAAATAATAGCGTGTTTGCAACACATTTGGTGTGACTGTAACCTTTCCGTTGCAGGGTTTCAGTGTGCGTACCAGACAGCCCTGGGGAATGTGCAGCTGGGACGTTTTCGGTAGCGTGCATTAATTACAGCGTATCACTATTTATCTCATTTACATGCCTTGAAAGGAAATGGCTGTGTTTACTACAGTGCCCCATTGTGCCAGGGGCTGTGAACACCCATCCAAAGACAGGGTCTCTGACTCCTCAAGTTTACCCTCAAGTGTGAGACCAAAAGGGCGAGGGAGGAGAGCAGAATCGAAATACACACAATATCACAGCAGGTACTTACGTATTTGTAGTAGGCTTGGCAGAGGCAATTTTTCAGGTCAGGAAGATTGAACCCTATGAGATTAAAATGTTAGGTGTTATCTTTCCAGCAGCAGTTAGATTAGCATATTTTCACTAAAAGCAGGACACACATCGAGCCTGTGCACTGGGAGATAAGCTGGTTTTATGCTACAGAATATATCTGGGCATTTAAAACACCTCAGTCAGACAGCCTTGGGCATACTTGAAGCAGTTTCACCTTCTTTAAGACATGAAATTTCAATATTGGTTTTGAAGACTACCTGAAGAATAATCCTTAAATGTGAAATAGTGTCTTCTGAGTGAGTATACTTCCCCCCCCCATTATTAATGAATAGTTATTCTGGCACCTAACAAATCCATTAAATAAATGTGTAAGCACACAGCCAGAGGTGATTTTAAAAGAACTATATAGTTGAATTCAAACAGCCATGCTAGGATAGGGAAGAAACGGTAACATCTTTGTCTTGGAAAAAGATAAAGATCACACACTTTGTCGAGTTATTCTGTGTTATTGCATCTTTGTATCTGTTTAAAATGGAGTTTAACGACTGCTCTACCAACTGAAAAGTTCAGCCACCTTCCTTGCCCCGGTTTGGACCCAGTGTTAGGGTGAGAGTTGGCATCACGAGGATGCTGAGAGGGGCACGTTGTGCGATGGAGCTGTGGGTCCAGCTTCTGATGGCATCCAACGGAGCACCGGGACGGGTGCACCCAGGGTGAGCGCGAACCAGAGGCCTTTATTTCCCAAAACACCATGGCAGGGAAGGCAGCCGAGCACCGCCACGACTCCCGCAGCCCCCCGGTGCGGGGATGCTCGTCCCGCGCGGAGGAGCAGGAGGGCATGTGGCGGATTCATGGCCTGACAGGAGGCGTGTGCGGTGGGTGCTGACCCTCGCCGCCCAGCTGACCCCGTTATTTGTTGAAGGGGCTGACTTGTCTGGGAGGACTGGCAGGGCCCGGGGTGCCAGATGGCATCTGGATGTGTGTTATGTGTCGGCTGTCATTCAGCCAGATTAATGTGAAGTTTGTAAAAAGGAGGAGGAGGGTGGGGGCTGGAAACAATTAAGCAAGAATCCCAAAAAACAATCGAGGCCACGTGCCACCGGGCAGCATTCGTTGGCCGCACAATGAGTTATAGGCTTCCCATGAATGGGCCCAACTGTTGCAAACGACATGAGCCTGCCCAGTTTTCGAATCGTTTAATGCTGCTGTTTACTTCCAATCCAGCCAATCTCCGGGCCAGGAGAGCCGTCACCTGATCGTCTTTTTATGGATTTAAGTCCCAGGCCTCACAAAATAACTGAACAGCGGTAACCATGGCAATGCTAATTATTGCTCTATAACTACAGTAGGAGAAAGAAAACAGGGTAGGCTGGGAGAAAGGTTTGAAGATTTATTTTTTTCGGCCAGGATTTGAGCTTTTGGCTCCTGGTCAGGTGTTGGGGTTTTGTTGTTTTTTTTCCCCTTTTCTTCTTTTCAAAATCTTTTTACAAACAAATAAATGACATTCTGCTTTAAAGATCTCTCAGATAATAGTTTAGAGAGCTTTGATACGTGTTTCTGGAGATCATGAATAGAGGAGCTGAAAGCTCCCGGGCAGCCAGGCACTAGACTTCTGCCTTGTTCTTTTAAGCTGATTTAGAATCCTGTAAAACATAAAAGGTGCTTCAGCAAGGGACCAGATTTATTTAAGGCTTCTGCATCGTCATTTGGCAACGAACACGCATTAGCACCATGCAGCTGGCTTTAACATATCTGTGAGAGAGCTCTTTAAAGCCTTTGTTTTGTAAGCAAAATCAACTACATCCAACTAAGCTATGTCCTTCTGAATGAGAAAGATGCTTTCCTGGGCCTGAACCCCTTTGGATTTACCCTGAGTGTCCAGTGATAACTTCCTGACGTGTTCTAATTACTGCTTTACTCCTCGAGATAGCCATGGTTCTGTGCTACTCTTCAACAGAAGCAGTTTAGCACTTGCAATAGTTCTTTCATTGACTTTAACTGCAGTTTTGACCACACAGGACATTTTGAGTACTGTAAATGTATTTCAGTTTTGTACCACGCACTCTATCAGAAGCAGAATGAAACGGGTGGGATGGAGCATGCAGAATGCATCAAAAATGGAGCTTTAAACCAAAAGCAGCCTGTCATCGTTGTGCCTCAGTTTTGTCAGCTGGGTGTTATTGTGCCTTCAGTCACTGCTTTTTATTCTGATCATTTAATATGTCAAAAACTGCCTAAGGGGTTGTTTCACGTCCTTTGTGGCTCCTTGTTAAACATCGATAACTTGGTGTATCTGAACGGAAGAGACCTCCAGTTCGTTCTGTGAAGTTCTGTGTAAGAAGCAGCTCTGCTGATCCATCTCTGCTGATGGGATGCAGTGGCTGGGCAAAGCCCTCCCTGGCTGATCAAGCCAGCAGCACCACAGGTCCTTGAGCTGTCACAGAAACTCCTTCCAGGACTGTCTGGTCACTACATTTCAAGGTTAATACAAAATCATCTGTTTAAAAGTCCTGGCAGGATTTTTCAAGGCCAAACCAGTGTAAATTTCTGCCAAATGTGAAAAAAACCGAGTCAGCTCTGGGTTTGTTTCTAGGCAGTTTCATTTCTGGGTTCTTACACATACCCTACAAATGCTGCACAAGGGGTTTTCTTAACCAAAATGTTTCTAATGGTACGAAGGAACACATTTCAAGGTTAATACAAAATCATCTGTTTAAAAGTCCTGACAGGTTTTTTCAAGGCCAAACCAGTGCAAATTTCTGCCAAATGTGAAAAAAAACCGAGTCAGCTTTGGGTCTATTTCTAGGCAGTTTCATTTCTGGGTTCTTACACATACCCTACAAATGCTGCACAAGGGGTTTTCTTAACCAAAATGTTTCTAATGGTACGAAGGAACACGCCAGCTGGGAAAGCAAAGGTCCCACCTGAAGTCTGCAAGCCTGACACATTTTCCCCAGACCTGTGTGAGCTGTGGCATCCCCATCACCTCCCCTCTCCCCAGGGCTGGTACAGCAGCATCCCTGCTCTCCCCTAACCTTTCACGCTGTTTTGCAGGCTCTTAGCTTCCGACCCCTCCCAGCTGGGCGAAGATGACCTCCCCAGTGACTTACAGTCCTTGTCGTGGCTGACATCTGTGGATGTTCCTCGGTTACAGCAGATGGCCAGTGGAAGGATGGATTTTAGCCTGGGTGCCCAGAATGCAATGCTACAACAGACAGGTAAACTGTTAGGACACTCAATAACCTCTCTTTAAACCAGACAGCCTTCTGCCTCTTCTCTTTCCCCACAACCCAGGTTAACTTACCCATTAGTAGGTCCCTTTTAAGTGCATTACATCTCGCTCCCCCTCAGAAGACCAGGAGCCTGTTGTCTTCTGATGAGGCTGTTGCTGATAGATTTCCTTCACAGCAAGAGGCAGAGAGCCCTGGCAGTCACAGCAGAAATCTTAGGATCTGACTTGCTTTTCTGTTCACTGCAGTTGCTGGTGCCTTGTTGTGAACTTGGGTCACAGTATTTAAGACTCGCATTTCAGAGGTTTTCAACAGCTTTGAAATTAGGAAATTAGCCTTTCTAGTTTGTTTCAACATTGATAAAATGAAGAGTGTCTGATTTACCCCATACCTGTTTGCTCCATACAGGCTTTCAGCATGTGTGAACATCCTTTAGGCACACACACTTGCTCCCCAGGGCTTTCAGCTGCGAGAGCTCAGTGTGTGATCTCACTGGCTTTAGAGCTGAAATCCTGCTGGAGTACAGATAGTGCTGGATAAGGGTTTTTTCCTTTTGTAAGATACCGTGTCTGTACCACCGCTACGGACTGTTAAACAGCTGTCAGCTTTCATTCCCTGCATAGCAAGTTTTGGAAGCAGCTGGTGTCATCTTTGCAATTTGTGAAGCGCTCTGGGTTCTTTTGGGCTGGAAAGCCACGGAGAGGTGTGATTATCCACTCCAGAGCTCAGCCGTGTTCAACCGCCTCTATTAAAAATAAACAGCTCTCTTCTGAAGGGTACTTTCATGTGAACATTCACTGCCTTTGCTTTCCCCAAAACAGGTCCTGTGGCAAGCAACATGCACTCGGCAGGAGCACCCGGAGCAATGATTCACGTCCAGGCCACCCTCCCACAGGGAATCCTGGGCCTGAACTCCATTTCAACACACGGAGCAAACGTAAGAGCAGGCCTCGACGGCTCATTCTTGCAACACTTCTTAGGAAAAGATGTCGGTAATTTCAAGACTGACCCCTCTGTTGTCTTTATCTCAGCAGATGAGTCAGTACGCTGTAGGTGGGCAGCCCTCCCCTGGTTTACAGACACAGCAACAACTCTTTCCTCCTCCTCCTCCTCATTCACAGCAGGTGTTTGCCCTAGCACAGAACACACAACAGGTACCTTGCTTGTGGTCTGTGTCTTGAATTACCTGCCAAGATCACATCTAGAACTCTTTGAAAAGAAAAACAATAAAATATCACTAAACCTACGTGTCTACAGACATTTTGCATCCAGTATTTTCCTTCTTTTCCCTGTGCACACAGTGTAACCCAGCAGCAATCTACAACACATCCTACGGGACGCAGCCACACTACTCTCAGCCACGCCTGGCTCCTCACTCTGCCCAAGAACTGCATCCAAAGCACTACCCCAAGCCGATCTATTCGTACAGGTGAGTGGAGAGCAGAACAGTGCATTGCCTACACACTGTAGGTCTGGGAGCATGAGAGTGTCCAATTCCTTTTGGAGGGACCAAAAATCCTCCCCCAAGAGGCTGTGGAAGCTGCCTCTGTGGGGCAGCAGGTATGAACAAGCAAACTCATTCCTGGACATCAGCATAAAGGTGGAGTAAAGGCGGAGAGGATTAAAATCTGCAAGATCTCAGGGTGACTTCTGAGCACTCATCCCATCATCAGCCAGCTGTTTGTGCCTTAGGAGATGGCTCCGAGGTTGCCAGACAAGAAGAATATATTCAATGGCTGAGTATACGCAATTTGTTCTCATTTTCTGTATTTCTCTGCCCTCTAGTTGCTTGATTGCAATGGCGCTGAAGAACAGCAAAACGGGCAGCCTCCCCGTGAGCGAGATCTACAGCTTCATGAAGGAGCACTTTCTCTACTTCAAGGTACGCAGACATCTGAAAGAGGGAAGCAGAACATCACAAGCACTTTGCTCATGGCTTATTTCCCTAATGTCCCCCTGCATCTTTCAGACAGCCCCCGACGGCTGGAAGAACTCCGTGCGCCACAACCTGTCCCTGAATAAGTGTTTCGAGAAGGTGGAGAACAAGATGAGCGGGACCTCTCGCAAAGGGTGCCTGTGGGCTCTCAACCCTGCCAAGATCGACAAGATGGAAGAGGAGATGCAGAAGTGGAAGAGGAAGGACTTAGCTGCTATCCACAGGAGCATGGCTAACCCAGGTAGGGCTTATGTTACATTTTTGGTATGTGAGGCAAGGGAGAAAATGATGATTTGGCCACAAATGCAGGGATTTTAAGGAATAAGTTTTATGTAAGAGAGCAGAGCTCTCACGCCTTGCAACGGCCTCCTCCTCTGTGCTCTGCCCTGCACCAAGTCACTGCTGCTGCCCCGAGGGTGTGCAACAGGGGGTTCACTGCGGCATGAAGAGGTAACTGAACTGACAGCTCTTTCTGGAGACCCTCAGTGCACATTGGTCTCAGCTTCAAAATGCATGGTCTTTTCCCCCGTGCTAATCTATCCAGCACATCCAAGGCCTTCGGAGGAGTTATGCTGCCTCCAGTGTTAGCATTTATAGTGTTGGCTAAATGGAGTCTTTTTACTTACACTGCAAAACTCTCCTTCCTTATTTTTAAAGACACGTGGTTTTGAAACTTTTAGGAGCTCAATATTGCCAGAATCAATTTAAGGTTTTTTTGCTGCAAAATCTGTAACGGACAATCAGTGGTAAACTATGTTCTCTTCTGCTTAGAAACAAAAGTGCCATTGAAACTGTCAGGAGTCTCTCGTACAAATCTTATTTGAAATACAAGCAGAATTCAGAGTATCCCTATGAGCAGGAGACCCTCAGAGGGTGCTTGGTTCTGGGGCTGTGGGCCAGCTGCCATCAGTGGTGGCTGGGCTGCTCTGTGTAGGTCTCATGTTCATCTCTTTACCTCAGTTAGGGGTTATTGTGGCAGTTGACCAGTGTAAGGGCTAAAGGTAGAGAAGCATACAGCATTTCTTTGCTCTCTGCAATCACAGCCTGCATCTTGTATGGTGACAGACACCGCCTGTTCAGTTTTCTGGCACAAGCATGTGGCTCTGCTCACTCTGGAAACACTTTGGCAGGGCCCTGTGTGGACAAACAGGTTAAACTTTCTCTTTTCTTCCTTGGGAATGGGTATCGTTCACGCAGAGGAGCTGGACAAGCTGATCACTGACAGACCGGAGAACTGCCGGCGGCCCAGCAAGCAGGCAGAGCCCGAGGTCGCTGCCCTGAACCACATGACAGCATCCCAAGGCCGAATCTCCATCTCCCAGCTGCAGCCACAGCCTATCATGACGCTCTCGCTGCAGTCCATGCCTCTCCACCACCAGATCCAGACGCAGGCTCGCATCACCCCGGACTCACCAGCACCCGCACAAACGCCTCCTCTCCACGCTGTGCCGGACGTGAGCCACAGCCCTCTGCCCCACCACCCTGTGGGACGCGCGCCTCCCGACTTCCTGAACGTGACGGCAGACATGAGCACCGAGGTGGATGCTCTTGACCCAAGCATTATGGATTTTGCATTGCAAGGTACGGCAGAAGGAAACTGGGGCAGGGGAGGGCACAGATTTTGTGGTGATGGAGTCACCGAACATACAACCAGGGTCCTCAGCAGGATGCTCTGGGGTGGGATGGAGCTGAGCTAAAAATTTGTGCTGGGTCCTGGCCTTCCTCAGTGCGTTTCTGCCCTGCAAACTGCCTCCATGGTTTAAGCGCAAGCACTGCAGTGGATGTAGACAGAGACCAGCAGGGTCCAGGACACCACATCCCATGGGAGGCCACAGCTCTACTCGTGCCTCGGTTTCTCCTTCTGTAAAATTAAAATGGCTAATGGTGATGCAGAGTGTGGTCCCTGGGTTCCTGGTTAGCACAGGGTAGGTAGATGCTGCCTGGAAAGGTCTGGACCATTGTTGGAACCAAGGAATCTGGGGGTACAGACACTCAGCTGCCTTTGCACTGCCAACAGCACAGCTGCAAACAGCACCGCTCCTGAACAGCGGGTGAAGCCCTTTAGGTATGGACTAACCCCACACACACGGTGCTGGGAGGTTGGATGTGTTGCCATAACCAGATTTTAATCTTTTAAAGGTAACATATGGGAGGAAATGAAAGACGACAGCTTCAGCCTTGACACCCTGGGTGCATTCAACAACTCCCCGCTCCACCTCTCAGACTGTGACCTGGGCACCCCCGGCCTCACGCCCATGTCCAGCGGCAGCGACCACTCCTTCTCCGACCTGCAGGTCACCGGCCTCTACACCACCTACACCACGCTGGACAACGTGGCGGCGGCTCAGTACATGAACCCCCCGGGCAACAAACCCATCGCTCTGCTCTGAGTTTTGCACCGCTCATAGACCTCCAACTCCCAAAATCCGACCTGAAAGCAATAAAAGAGCTCCTCCTGCAGACACTCGGGAGGCGCTGGCTGGTTACTGGGACGCAGCATGTGATGCCACAATAAATTAATAGGACCACGTTCACCCACGGCAGGAGTGGGGAAGGGGCACGGACACTCGTGTTGCAGGACTGGTGAGCTCATAAAAAGGACCTGGAAGGCATCACTCAGCAGCAGCTTTCACTAGAACATAACTGAGCTAAAAAATACTCGGGTTAAGGTAAACAAGTTTCATCGACGCCGTGACCGGGACTTACCTGCGGACGCTGTTTGGTCACCACCTACTCAGAAGGCAACACAAGTCAAGGGGCTGCGCAGCACCAAGCTGGAGTTCAAAAATCACCCATTTCTTCATTTGCCAAATAACTGTTGCCACTGAACAAAGACCCCAGGCGGTTTCTGGAGGCGCTTGCACCACTAACACTTTTCTGACTGAACTGTTGTTAATTTATTGTGATGAGGTAGGAAAAATGGAGCAAAAAGTACTGAGAAGGAAAGCTCCAACCCATAGCAGACAACTGCTGTATCTAGGTTGAAAAACAAAGTCCTTACCCCGTGAAGGAAGTGCTACTACTGAATGATGAAACTGATCACTGGCTAGAAGATCGTAGGAGTTATGCCTATTTTTAGGATTTTTAAAAAAAATACTAGATTTGTTTATAGTCTCGTGTATTGTGCTTCTGTCTATTCCTGTGCTAGGCAGTGTTACTATTTGTAAATTTATTTATATTTATTGTTACGAAAAGAAATTATGTAAACTGAGCACTGTTCCATTTCTTAAAATGCTGCAGTAACCTGGTTTACACCCACTAAATTATTCATAGTCAAAAATGCAACGAGTTTGATCCCTGGTGTTACACTACATTTCTTTTAGATAAGCACTTTTGATACTGTGAAACTCATGGTTTTTTAACAAAGAAATTCAGAGACCAAATATTGTACCATACCGATTCACGATCATCTGTCTTTCCTGATTAACCAAGTTAAATTGATCCTAACGCAGTTTCCTTAAACTTTCAAACCTTGCTTCATGCTTGGTAACACACATTGCAAAACAAATGGGATGAGATATCTGAAAATATAAAAAAGCAACCTGTACGTTGGACCTCAGCATTTACTTTACTTACACCTCCGTGACCATGAAGTGATATTTATACCTCGCGTTTCGGCTGTTCCTGGGCACTAACAGAGTTTCCCAGCCCGTCAGTTCCCTGTTGTGTCCCGGCACTCGCAGGCTCCTCTCGCCCACGCTGGAGTGAAGATCAGGGGCACGTCATAATTTATTGCTCAAGAACAAATGTGATTCACGATCATTTGCTGTGACGGGCGTCATCTACGATGTCTTCATGTTTTTTAAAAAATAAATATTTCTTAGCACTAAGCCTGGCTCATTCGACTGATATCAGGCACGCCCCTGCCACGTGGCACGCTGCAGCTCGGCGTAATTCCCAGTAATTAATAAAACAGTAATTCTGAGGCTTCTGCTACTGGAATGCAATGTATCACAGAACATGAGGAGTTGGAAGG